TAATTAAGTTTACTCAATATTAGCTTTACAAATAATTTCATAATAATAAAACAGTATTAAAATTCAATACTTCAAGCTTTTACTAATTTGTGTACATGGTTTACCGAACATGTATCATAAATAATTTAAATGTACTGTTTGTGTTAACTGATTTATTTTATCAGAAGGGTTTTTTGTTGATATTATAGTAATTTCAATAGTTGAAATCATGAGTCAATTGAAGCTAGACCACCATGGAAAACCTGGAAGTACCAGACGGCCGTTTCCCACAATAGGTTTTCCATGGTGGTCTAGCTTCAATTGACTCATGATCTCAATTATTGAAATTATATTTTAATCATTAATCAACTTGAATACTATGTAGATTACACTGTTAGTTCGTAATATCACAATTATGTAATGTTGAGATTAGATGTAAGGTAATCAGTAAATTGAAAAATACGGTCTATTATTTTGTAAATTTTGATTGTCTGAGAAAGTTGAAGGTGGCTAAATCACGACTGAGTTATTCCATTCCAATAATTATTGAACTGGACGATAGTGATGATTAGTGATTAAAAACCGCTAAAAATCAATCACAATGGAATAGATGCATCCATCATTTTTTATTCCCCTGAATTTTAAGATCCAACATAGCACTACGCTTTTGATTACCCATTCATGTCGTTTTTCGATGTAAATTTTTTATATTCATTCAATTATCTACTGATTTAGCTCTTTTCTATCCCATCTTGTTAATTTCGCCGTCCTACGATAATTACCAAACCTCGAACCTATTATCTTTTGTCTTGAGTGCCCAACGCGTTATCCAATTATGTAGATATAGTTAAAATAAAGGCATTTTAATATGTAAGATTTACTTTTAGTATGATACGTTAAGTGACTTTTTTTATGATTTCATCGTTTAATTAGAAAATAATGAACTTAATTCTTAACAGATAAATACTTTGATTCAGCTGAAACGCAGGTATTTATTCTGTAGTCTACCACGTTAGAATAAAAAAAGAATGGAAATATCCTAGATTTCAGTATTAAATAATAACTAAGTGTGAAATTCGATCGAAAAATTTAAATTGACGGATGTTATTAGCGATATTTTTAATGTTTAGTAGATGTATTTCCAGTACTTTTATATATTTTCTTCAGTCATTTATTGAGTGCTGCGCAGCAGAGTGTAATTATAATTAGAGATTATGTTTCGATCCTTGGCTGCCATCATACATAAGTTTATGATCCGGGTTTCCTCACACTGACATGTGCACGGCAAACAAATGTGCATAATTCCAAAGGCTTGAAATGAACTCTTTGGTCAAATTGCCTCCTGATATCTAGGGCTCACCCACCAAAGAGCTGGATACCTCACATCTATTGAACATTGGAAAATTTGCGGATAACCCCAGCCTTTTAACTTCAATACAATTAATGATTTCGATATTTTGAGCTTTTCGTCAAAATTCAATTATTTTTATAACGAAACCAATCTATGATTCAATAATCTTAAAAAAATGAACCAATTATTTGAATTATAGTAAAGTATTTTATTTAAATATTAAACTTACTGACTAATAAACCTGATGAGTGATTAAATCTTTGTCTATCAGAGAACATATGACAAACAAAGTTCCTTATGATGAGAGTATGCTAGAAAGAATAAAATAGCTTTCATTAAACTAGCTGAAATAACCTGTTGAGTCAATCAAGATCTGGTGTGATGTAATCACCATAGTATACATATAATTGATTAAAGTTGTGAACCAAATATAAATTATTGATTCTCATCTCAATGACTCAATTTCATTATGATCGCATAAAGACACAAATATCCTGAACTTGGCCACTTGTAAAGCATCGACTGCTCCTTAGTCACAAACTATGGTGAAAATAATATCAAATATTTCATGTTTTTTTGAAAACTTGTTTTTGAATAGTAACATTTTTTAATTTAGTGTTATTCATTCCATCGTTTATACCGTTCACCTACTTCATTAAATTTAGCTCAGAGTTGAGATGATTAGTTTTAATACACTGAAAGCTTTACAATGATATTCTTATAAACAGGCTGTAAAACCAAGCTAAAATCAATTTTCTATTATCTGTTAAAAGTCGACCTAACAATCATGAATAATAAATACTAATTTTGGCCTGAATAGCATTACTACATAGCTTGGGACACCCTTGAAGAATCTACCCGCGACTAACAATTTATCACTTTGAACACGTGGTCTTCATTTAAGAAGGCTACATCTCTCTGCATGTTTCAGAGTAACATTCAGGGATTTCATGGAATAATAAAGCGTATCTAATACATCTGATAAGATGTCTATTAATGAAATTACCGTGTTGACAAATGGTATGAAGTGACTATATTAAACTAACAACATAAGCTATAACACTCTTTCTAATATTAGACGGATGGCATTTCTGTGTTTGATATATTAAAATAATAACCGTACAACTGTTTAATTCATTATCACTAACTGTCTAATCTAAATTAGTTCGAATAATAATTTTAAGAGATTTGTTTAATTCTTTTGAGTTAGTCGTCAGTAAAATCTGGGATCATATTTCATACTATTTGGTACTCGTCCGCAAAAAGTAACAACAATCTTAGGGGGACTGATGCTCTGTTATGTGGGATGCAAATCGAAATCACCCAACTTCAATGTCTCATACATCACCACTGAACCATTCAGGCTACAACCGACCTCCAATAGGGTTTAAATATCTACAAATGACGGATTACTGAGTAATCACCAATATCCAATTTGTCTAGTCTTCTTTCAATCACGCAGTTTCGAATCATTCAGTGACTATCAGTTTAATCAATATTGCAGGTACACATTTCTAACCAATACCAACTAACATGATGCTTAGGTTCATTTTTAACAGACTTTCCAAGAATAACCTTTTATTGTAAATTTCTTGATTTATACAAAAATACAGTAAAATGAACAGTGTATCATTATGATAAAAATGAACAACTTTCGGTTTTCCCTTTTTAAATATTTAACACAATTAATGTTTAATTTTTAGTCTCATAAAATGAAAAGAAGATAATTGAACTAATGTTAATCAAAATAAAGATGAATAACAATGGCAAAATATACTTGTTAAATTAATTTCCCTGTCTATGAATATTATATAAATAATCAATCACAAATTCCATAATGATCGTTAACTAACTAACTAACTAACTAACTGAGTATTCAAACACATTGGATCTGTGTTTTTTTTCAGTTTCAAAATGTTTAAATTTATATCTGTATTCAATCTCATTATTTTAAAAATAAAAGCATTCATCTTTATTCTCTGCGTTATTTAACTAGTTCACAATGAACTCATCTAACTTACATGACCTTAAATTCATTAAATATCATTTTGTTTCGAAATTTCATTCTGTAACAAAAAACAAACAAACGAACCATTAAAGTTTTTTAAGGGAAATTGGACAAAAAATTACAGGATCAAATAGTTTAATTAATTACTCTATCCAGTAGTATATATAATTTTTAAAAAATTGTTTTCAATGATCTTTTAATGAAAAGATTTCGAACACAAACTGTGTTTACTCTGTGTATTGATTCCCAATACCTGATTGTTGAACTAAACAATATCAGAAGACAGATTACTCCATGAGCGTTAGTTAGATTATCGTAATCTATATACTTGAATATTTTGGATGATCCAATTCAAAATTAATTAATTTGTTATATTGCTCTAAGCTTTGAGTTTAATGTCGCTCTAGAATTTTCACTGACCAGTTTTACTTGTTTCTTAGGAATCACATCATGTACGCATGGACTTTTGATAGCATCGTTACTGTTGTCTCATTCAGTTTATTTTTTTATTTCACTAACTCATTCTCTGGCTATCCTAATCTTAAGTATATTGTCTTGGATCAATACAGAGTTGTTCAATAACTTGTTTATGACTGATAGATTAGTTGATTAATTACAATACCTGATATAATATGAGGTATTGAGTAGATGTTTAGTAATTCACTTAACTCGACTCCTTGGTGAGTCTTACACTAGTTATTCCGAACAAAAAGTTCAATTATGAAATTCATTACTTAATTAGGAGATAATTTACAGCATTTGCTAATGTTTTTTAGAAAAGCACTGAGAAACACCGAAAGCGGTGCTAAACATATGCTTTATCACAGATGTGATTCCTCTGTTGTAGGCTTACTGTGACATCGAAAATTCCTAGATTCTATCTGTGCACTTTTGAGAAGTCCTACACTGAGAAGCAACATACGTCCAGTCCAAATTGTCTTTCAATGGGTGTCTATATAAAGTTTGTCCATGATTTAAACTACAAACTACCACATTGGATACAAATGACTATAATTTGATGTCTATTTATCTGAGCATCAATATCAGTAACAAAATAAGTCATTACTAAGACAACATAACTAAAAATAAAGTTAACTGAATAAGTGAAAGTCAGGAGTTCAATAAAATAACAGATTATGCAATAAAAGAACTTTTCCCACTAAAATTAATTTATCTCAACACACTTAAGCTTATTGCGATTATCTCTATGTATATTGATTAGGTCAAAAATGCGTGAAGACAATGATGTCTGCAAAACGCACTGAATGTGAGGTTCGTTGTCTGTTGATTATTTCCGAAAAATTCGAGTTATTCACTTCGTATTCATTATCCACTGAGTAACTGACCATCGTACTTGAAACGTTTTCTCTCTTTTATAAATTGATTTCAAGGAATGTGGTCAAAAAACTTCGGAGATTCCTTTACCTTAGTTATTTTCATATACTTTTTTGTAAGAGTATGTGTAAATTCGTTAATGTAACCCGTGTTCACTGCAAAAAAGAACATTTATCTTCCTTCAATTAGACTGGTAAACATTGTCTTATGTATTTAAATCAATTGAGCTAATAGAAAACTCCATTTAATCTCTTCCCCGACAGCAAAATATTATTCTTGTGGTGTTATCTTGTTCAAGTATTCCATGGGATTGTTTATTTTGTTTAGCTTGAAGGAAAACGAGACAGAGATCAAGAACAAAGTGTACTTGATTGGATAGAGGCCGTACTTGGCACCAAGGTGGACCGTTCTAAACCATATGAAGAGGTACTGAAAGATGGAGTGCTACTTTGCAAGTAAGTCAATTATTATGCGAAGCTTCGAACTGCTTGATATTTTGATTCGTGTAAGAATTATCCTAACTCTAGCAACCACTGAGCTACTGAGTTCAGATAGATACTGTAGGAATTAATTTGTCCTACAGATATACTACTAGAACCGTAAACGCGATACTGGCGAGCACAGAGTCTATGTGAAAGCTATAGTCAGAACAAGGACAACTTGGCTTCAAACTTTATCCGTTTCCACCAGTATTGCGTGTCTTATCGAAATGAATAAAACTGAGTTACACTAACATAATAGGATGATAATGTCTTTTAATTGGTAGGTCACATGCAACAGAGATGGTTTACAGACACATCAGACTAAATCAACGTGGTGGGCGCCTAAACAACAATTTGATTGGTTAGTTGTGGACATAGCTAACAGATACTGGCTTGTTCAACGGGTGGGATTTATACTCTAATCACAGAAAGGGCTTTTAAGTATCCCATCCTTGATATTTTGCACTCAATTTCGGCTGGTGATTTTCAAACACAACGAAACATGGACCTTGAGTTCTGCTGTCAGTCAAAATTCATCCATTCTAAAAACTTATGACTTAACTGCTTTATCTAGACAATCTACTTGGTATGCATATATTTCTGTTCGAAGCCTGACCGAAATTCAGTCCTAGATATCAGCAACGCAACAATTCAAGCCCTTTCTGATGATAAAATATGAATACCAAAGTTATGATATGTATCGACTTATCTTCAGAAAAGTAAAAATATTTTATTAGAGCAAATTTTAAGATTATTAAATGAAAATATCTTTACCGATCTATACTAAAACATATTTTTGTTACACAATAATTCCTGTACTAAAATCATTTTTCTTGACAAGTAAAATTATTTTTATGAGTATGTAGAAGTTATACAATGTAGTTACATTTCGGGATGAAAGCTCACTCTGAAATCAGCAATGAGTGTTTCCTACTACTCCGAACTCGACAACTGAGGTGTGACTGTATCATAATGTTTTTGTTTACACTTAGTCTTAGATCAATTACCCACAACCCTATAGGTCAACGGACGATTTAATTCAACATTGAGTCATAATAGTCACACTTATTTGAAAATTATGAGACATCTTTAACTTTCAGTGTTTATTACTGTTTTTTGACAATTTACATCACAGACTAATATTTATAAGAAAACAACTAAAGACGAAGAATCACTGGACAGCTGTTTCGTAATATTGTGAGGTCCCTCATCAATCCTCATTCATTCTGATTAGTTCCAAATACTGACTGAAGTCTTATTAAAATGATTAGATGCCGCTCGGTAGTCCAGAGATTAAGTGATCGTCAAGAGACTCAAAGGTCCTAGGTTTGACCCTGCAAAAGGTTGTGGTTGCATATTTCTTAGGGATTCACATAATGGAGTGAAACACCAGTTTGTTGCTTCTTGGTTTTTAAAGAATGTCTAAATAATATCATTCCATGATGTTCACTATAAAATCAAATAATTTCCACAAAGTTGTACACCAATTCGCATTTCATATTGCTAATATTCATGACAAGATTTAATCAGTCTCTTCTGTCACAACTATGTGAAAAGTCCTAACATCCATTTGAAAAGTCCGTATGCTAGTAAAAACTGATCAGATTCAATCTCGAATAACAATACTCAGTAAATAAAATCTTTTACAAATTGTGATATGGATGTATTGTTTAAAGATTTTTCAGTTTTATCTATGATAAACAGGTTGACAGTTAGAAAATCTGCTCTTTCATGCTTTACATAAAGTATTTACTGGATTATCAGTAAACGTATTCAATTAGCTAATTTATTCTCACAATTGGAAAGCACAAGTATTGGAAACCTAACGTTACCTAAACTAATCTAAAAGATGTCAATATCAAATTAAGTCTTTATCTGTATAGGATCTTATCAACTGAATTGATCGAAGATCATCATCTTTCTGATCTGCCTACTTGATAACTTTTAGCACGAGATTCAAATACTGTAAGTTTTTTGTACATAGAACAATTTAATCCACAGTTCTTGTATTTTCTACCATATTTTATTAGAGTTATCAATAAACTAAAACCTGGTAGTGTGAAGAGAATCAATGAGAACGCTACTATGCCATTTAAAATTATGGAAAATATTAATGCATTTCAAGAAGCAATTAAGGCATACGGGGTACCTACTGCTGATGTTTTTCAAACAGTCGATTTATTTGAGAAAAAAGATATTGCTCAAGTGACACAATGTATTTATGCTCTTGGAAGAACAGTAAGCTATATTTGTTTATTTTTTATGATAGATATCATGAACTGATTGGGTGTTAATTGTTGTTTGAAGTTTAATTGCTCATTACGAGATCTTGAAGTCCTGAGTTTGATCGCTAGTATGTTCAAGGATAAATATTGATGCGGTGTTTAAAACTAGGACAAAGCAATTTCACTGCTTACTGACTTCCAATAACTATTTAAATGAAATGGGACCATAGTGTAAAACTACGAAATTCATCAATCTCTATAATCTTGTATACTATAAACATATGTTGAGTGACTATGAAATCATCTTTCTTAGAAAACTTTCTAATAATTTTTTGGTGTGATGTAGTTTAATGATTTAAACAGTCAAAACCTTGGCTGTAACCTACTAAATTCTAAGCTTTCGTTTAGTCAGTTGACTGGTATCATTGACGATTGTATGCACACAAAATGTATCTGAATGCATAAATCTCTTCATGAGAAAAAAATTACTTCACTTTAAAGGTTATTTTTCCTTAAACCACGCAAATTTATGAACAAAATCATTCATACGATTAAATTTTTAACATTTATGTGTGTCATTTTATCACAATTGATTGATCACCACCCAGTGATCAATCAATTGTGATTACATCTCAGTCCTACAGGAGGTTAGTCACGGCTCGGATAGCTCAGTGGTAACGTCTCTGACTGTGAAGCTGGGTGACACGAGATCGAATCCGCCAGGGAGCACCAGTTCCCTCAAGATTACAGGTACACCTTGCTGACGAGTGCCAAGTAGCACGAAACCCGGGTCCAGGGTTTCCTGTTGAATACCTCCAACCACCATCTAATCTCAGTGTCATTTTATAAATTGATAAAATTAAATAAGTACTTTATTTAAATTTTCTTCAGCAAATTCTATGTTCACTAACTTTCACTTCATATCATTTCATAGATTATGCGATTCGCATAGGATATCTCAAATTTTGTTCACTATATTTCACTTATATTTATTCTTATTATTAACCTCACAGTTTTATTGGATTTGAAACCTTATTCAAACATAAATCACTTAATAGTCATTTTAACAATTACGCAATCCTCAGTCACCGTTTTCGCTGACAAACTATCCTGTGAAAGCTAGGAGCTACGAAGCCAAGACAGCATTATTTATGAAGTCATTTACTATTAGTTTGGACAGTGTAAAGAGAAGCAGTCTACCCAATTAGATTCCATACGATAATTGTTATCTACAGTTTGAGAGTTTAGTTGACTTATCACTAAATCAATTAAAAGGTGATGAAGATCCATTCATTCTTTATCTCATCCCAAATTGCAGATTTCAATAATAATTCATATTTTTGTGTTCATAGATTTCATTACATTATCTCTGAATATATTCTACATAGTAAATATTTTCACTATAACGTACGGTACTTTTGATTCTACTTCCCTGTTATTCAATTTGTTATTTTCACTCCTCCGCACTGATACAGTTTGACAACCTGAGTCAAGACATATCTTTATCTAGCCTATTGTTTTTACAAATAATTGACCAACTCACATCTGTAGAATTTCATAAAAATTTATTGGAAAGAATATTTTTCTGTTATATATATCATAAATGTTTTCCTAAGTACTGAAGATTACCAAACAATTATAATTCAAGCTGATATCAAATAAATGGAATATGATTAGCAACTTAATCCAGAACACTCGTTTCATCCTATTCAGAACTTGTTAGCTGGATGTACCTGGATCCCAGAGTTGATGTTCACTCCATGACTCCAACGCCACTGTATTAGATGGAACGCGGCTAACAGACTGATCAAATTTCCGTGAAAAATATCAACAATGGGAGAATTCAACCCATTTTAAACTGAATTATCATTCCGTTACTAATGATGGTTTGTCAAAATCTAAATCTGCTATTGATCAGTCTTTATTGTCATTTGTGGATCCTGAGTGGGTTGCCTCTATGAAGTCATATTTCCGCAAGTTTTCGGAATGGATAGATTGTGGCTAACAGTGGGATCCAGAGTTCATGTTTCATTCAATTTGGGATGTTCCCACATTCCACTGTTAATATTTAATTAATTGATAAACGTTTTTAATGGTCATTTTTCACAGCCCATTACCCTAATTAAAATGACTTTAATCTTCTCAAAAAAAAACTTTTTCAGTGTCAAACACATCCGGAATACAATGGCCCTACTTTAGGTCCAAAATTAGCTCAAGAGAATAAACGTGAATTCACTGACGAACAATTACGTGAAGGCGCGAATGTGATTAGTCTACAATATGGTACAAATAAAGGTGCTTCACAAGCTGGCATGACAATGGGCAAACAAAGAATGATTCTTGATTAAATTAATTATTTATGAAGAAGAATACTGAAACATATCTATCAATCTATTGAAACTATGACCATTTGATGGGGGGCAATTTTTTAAATTCTAATATTAATAATCACAAACTTGATTGAATCTTAACTATGCAACTCAGCATGTCAATATTTGTTTACCAATGAAATGCTTTTTTTTCACAACTGCTTTTTTCCTCGTTTAATTGTTTCTTAACCTTATTCTTAACTCATCGTATTACAGTTGATCTAAGTAACAACAATACTAAGGTGTAACCTTGATTAATCGTTCATATGATTGAATGTTAATGTTAAATCACGTGCTTAACTTCTTAATAAAAATTTCACATATTTGTGCTGCTTAATAATAATAACAACCGCAACGCTTTTTTCCTTAATTTTTTACTTATATATTTCTGTCAAAATACTAAAGTGTAAAGGTTATTGTAATTGTTATACGGTAACAAATTCATTGCCTACTTATTCTACTTGATTCTTTATTTATAACTAATAGTGAAAGTTCCTGTTTTCTATTTTTTATTTTGAACACGTAAATATTGGTACAGGAGGGCACCAAATACATATGCGCCACACAAAACAATGAGAATTTGAAGAGAAGAAGGAAAAAGAAGTAGGGAGCGTAAAGAAAACAATAACATACAGATTAGTTAAGGTAGTATAATAATAATCGGGGAAACGAAAAGATACAATCAGAAGAAATCTTTCGGTTAAGGAAGAAGCAACCACTTTTTATGAAGAAAGTAAAAGAAGGTTACAGCAGGATCTCCACTGGCTTCTAGTCTGAGCCATATCTGATAACGTCTCTAGCCACTGTATCGCACCATTTCTAGGACCCCAGCCAGGAAGTCGTGAAGGACCAACAGAAGCCAACCCTTTGCAGCTTTCTTTCATAACACGACACCACGTCATACACCGACCACCTCTCCGCCTTTTCCAACCAGTCCCAGCATCGGCAATTAATGCACGACGTGGAATTCTCTGGGAGGACATTCGTAGAACATGTCCAAGCTACCGAAGTCGGTGTTTCAAGATGGTGACACCAAGTGCATTATCGTCTCTGTGTCCGAACACACGATGCCGAACCTTTGCATTACAAACATGGTGTTGCCACTGGATGTCAGCAAACCTTCGGAGACAGCGATGATCGAACACAGAGTCGTCTAACATCCTCAACTCGGAGAGGCCAGGTTTCACAAGCATAGAGCAAAACTGCTCTCACCGACGCGTTATAGATCCGACCTTTTACAACCAGACCAACATCATGAAGGCGCCAAAGGTGGCCCAGATTGGCATAAGCCGCTCTGACTTTCACTATACGTGCATTGATCTCATCACTCACACCACCACCAGCACTTATGCAGCTACCTAGATACACGAACTTCTCGACTACTTCTATCTGCTCACCAGAATCCTGCCAGTCTTGTAAAAGTACTTTGCACTTCGAAGGTGCAAAGCACATACCATACCTACGGACACTGATTACCAACTGATTAAGTGTGGATTGCATGGCTTGGGCATTATCGCTCAGTAAGACAATATCATCCGCATACTCAAGGTCGAGAAGTCTTTCTCCAGGCAGCAGATCTACATCGCCATCACCTACATCCATCAGGGCTGTTTCTAGAACGTCATCGATGGCAAAGTTGACGAGGAATGGTGAAACTAAGCAAACCTCTCTAACCCTATTGATTGAGTTGAACAGTAGAGAAAAGTGGTTGTACGCCCTCAATCTGCCTGGAGTGTTTGTACATAGAGCTTTTAGATGTTAATAAACTTCTCAGGCACACCCTTCTTCAATAAACAATCCTAGAGAACAGCCCTGTCCAACGAATCGAAGGCGGCCCTAACGTCACGAAACACAACAATTGTTGGACCGTAATAAGTATGATGGTGTCCTAATATTTGGCGGAGGGTGAAGATATGATCAGTATATCCTCGATCAGAACGAAAACCAGCCTGCTCCTCGCAAGTCAATCTTTCCCGGGTTTTTAACAATTTATGACGAAAGCAATCGAAAGTAGACTTATCCCCCGATAGTTGTTACAGAGACGACGTGAACCCTTCTTAAAGATAGGGACAACTATCGACTTATTCCATGACGTTGTTACACTCTCTAGCTCCCAAACCTTTGTAAACAACGTCGTCAGTTCCTTGGTCAGAAAGTCACCACCATCTTTAAAAAGAGCTGGAGGTAAGTCATCTGGGCCTGATGATTTGTAGCGCTTCAAGAGTTAGAGTTCCTTGCGGACTTCCGCCTCATTTGGTGGATCAGTCGTCACCGGCCATGGAGGGCAGGACAGTCTGACCGATGTTGCCGGAGCAGCAGGCCAGTTGAACTGCTCTTCGAAAAATTCTCCCCATCGTCCAAGACGTCGATGGATGTTGGTGATTGGCATAGGTGGAGATGAAGAAAAGACATCGTTTCTCACGCCGATTTATTCTCACTTTGATGGAACTCTCTAATCTAACAGCACATAACCGACTGTTAATGGGGATCCGATCGATTAGTGCTGCCTCAGCTCTAGCGCTTAGTGCGACACCAACGCCAGCAACACCAGACGAAGATGCCACAGCATAACCGGATAAACGCACGTAAAACAAGCTTTTCGAAGCGACGGATGGAGAGCGAATTTGTAGTACTTCACCAGAGTCTTGGATACGGGTCTCGGATAGACGGCAAACATCGATATTAAGACTTTCCAAATACATAGCCAGCCCTATATGTTGTCCGACCTGTATTAGTGTGCGGACGTTGAAGACAGCCAATTCAAATAGTGCACGTGTTTTCAGAAAAGCTGCTTCAGTACTTGTATTTGGTGGTAGCATACAATTTTCAATCAGGCAGTGACTCGAGAACGTTAGACAGAGCCGAATTTCCACCATAGGCGAGCTACTGTATAAGCCGAAAAATAAGGATATACAGAGTGGGAATAAAAGCGAGTGAATAAATGACGCAGTAAATAATAATAATAATAATAATAATAATAATAATAATAATAATGTGAATCATTATTCGCAGCAAGAAAAGTACTTTCAATAAAAATAGACAGTCCATCACAATTGTGTGTGGGCTGTGATACTACAGGGGTGCCCAGACAGAAGCATGTGGTTTTCTTAAGGGGCCACACCCCGAAACTTTGACCTAAAGGTCTGACCCACAAGGCAGTGGAGCATCGCAAGGAGATGCAGTCCCATGGTAGCCGGTGACCAAAAATTGGTTCGTACGCCATTTGTCTCCGCAGGATACTCGAGCCCATGTGCACCATTGGTTTGGGATCCGATCAAAGCGCCGGACATTCGGTTTTCGTTCTCTCATTTCCGTAAACAACACCCCCGCCACGAGAAGGCAATGAGTAGGACTTCCCTGGCAGAGGCTGTATACGTGTGACCGTGTGAGAGCATTTCGAGAGGGAGGGCGAGCCCATCCCACTGTCGGCCATACCAGGGCATTTAGTGGCATGCCCATATTTTCCACTGTAACCGAGCCTAGTAAATTTAATAGTTGAATATGCTTAAGAACACTTATATAGCTAATATGTCGTTCAAATAGGTATCTATTAAATTCCAAACACTCAGTAATTTTAAAAATATGTTAGGTGACCATCATGCGGATCCAAAAGCTTTATCACGAGCTAGTATAAACCAAGTGATTTATTTGAGCTAGTTTTGTGTTATTTCGGTACAGCTCCGGGTATCCGATAATGTTCGATATATGTTAGTCAAGTGACTCAAAGACACTAATTCTAGTCTCTTTGGAAGTTATGTGTAGATCAGTACAAATTACTGTTAGAGTGAGTTTGCTTGTCTCAGGAATTAGGGACACAAGAAAATCACTGCTAATTACATTGAAAAATTGCAGATAACCTAGTAAACATATGCAAAAAATTTCCATGAACACACAAAAAAGATAACGAGAAACTACAACAATCAGAAAAAGAAAATCATTAAAAAAAATAAGACAAAAAGGAAAATATTTTAACCGGTCTCGTGAGAGTAAAACAACGTCAACTAAGAGATATCAAATAACTGAAGACAATGGTGTACGGTGTCTCGAGAGGCGGGATGGTGGATGCGCACTGCTGAGCAGTCACATACTAGGACGAAACGGCCGTCCAGTGCTTCCAGGTTTTCCATGGTGGTCCAGCTTCAATTGACTCATGATTTCAACTATTGAAATTTGTAAAAATCTCCACAAAACACCTTCTGATAATAATCATCTGCTCACTGGTGACTGACTTGAAGAGGCATTTCCTGGAGTTCTAGTGAGAAGCCGTTACCAGTGGAGTTCAACCAGGTCTGTTGTGAGATATCAACTCACTGAAGACAATGGTGTACGGTGGCGCAACTTCGTGGATTGGTTGAAGTTAGACATTAACTCCGTTGGATGCCGACTCAGTGGTCTAATTATGAGGTGGTCGCGCGCGACACTGATAGGTCCTGGGTTCGAATGTCTCGAGAGGCGGGATGGTGGATGCGCACTGCTGAGCAGTCCCATACTAGGACGAAACGGCCGTCCAGTGCTTCCAGGTTTTCCATGGTGGTCTAGCTTCAATTGACTCATGATTTCAACTATTGAAATTTGTAAAAATCTCCACAAAACACCTTCTGATAATAATCATCTGCTCACTGGTGACTGACTTGAAGAGGCATTTCCTGGAGTTCTAGTGAGAAGCCGTTACCAGTGGAGTTCAACCAGGTCTGTTGTGAGATATCAACTCACTGAAGACAATGAAGTACGGTGGCGCAACTTCGTGGATTGGTTGAAGTTAGACATTAACACCGTTGGATGCCGACTCAGTGGTCTAATTATGAGGTGGTCGCGCGCGACACTGATAGGTCCTGGGTTCGAATGTCTCGAGAGGCGGGATGGTGGATGCGCACTGCTGAGCAGTCCCATACTAGGACGAAACGGCCGTCCAGTGCTTCCAGGTTTTCCATGGTGGTCTAGCTTCAATTGACTCATGATTTCAACTATTGAAATTTGTAAAAATCTCCACAAAACACCTTCTGATAATAATCATCTGCTCACTGGTGACTGACTTGAAGAGGCATTTCCTGGAGTTCTAGTGAGAAGCCGTTACCAGTGGAGTTCAACCAGGTCTGTTGTGAGATATCAACTCGCTGAAGACAATGGTGTACGGTGGCGCAACTTCGTGGATTGGTTGAAGTTAGACATTAACACCGTTGGATGCCGACTCAGTGGTCTAATTATGAGGTGGTCGCGCGCGACACTGATAGGTCCTGGGTTCGAATGTCTCGAGAGGCGGGATGGTGGATGCGCACTGCTGAGCAGTCCCATACTAGGACGAAACGGCCGTCCAGTGCTTCCAGGTTTTCCATGGTGGTCCAGCTTCAATTGACTCATGATTTCAACTATTGAAATTTGTAAAAATCTCCACAAAACACCTTCTGATAATAATCATCTGCTCACTGGTGACTGACTTGAAGAGGCATTTCCTGGAGTTC